ACGTTCTTGCTATTGCCAGGTTTAGGGACAGGGACTATTTTAATGTCTTTCCATGGAACAGGTACAACGTTTTTGGAGAAAGAAGCATTTAGGATGTTAGTTAGTGGAGAACATAAAGCATCTGCACATTGTTTTAGAACATATGCAGGTATACCATCAGGGCCAAGGCTACATGAGGGCTTAAGAGTTTTAAGACATTTTAGAACATCGAGTGTATAAAGTCATGAAAGTTATCAGCTACATGATTAGTAACGTTAGAAGTATAGTAGAAGGAGAGCGTATAAAAGACTGATTAAGAGCATTAACATCATAAGAGGGAAAAACATTACATCGCTTACTATTGCCAGTAATTTCATTGAAAAGTTTCCACATGCTGATAGGAGATTTGCATGATAAAAGTGTTTGGTTATAGATAGCATTAAGATTTTTGATTTCAGATTTGATTTGAGCATTAATCTTTTTAAGTCCTAACTTATCTTTGAATTTATATAATGTTTCTTTTTGCCTGCGAAGTTGTTTGAGATGAGGAGACGAGAAGCGGTCGAGGCGTTTGAATAGTGTTTGTTTGGGACAGCATATGTCAAGGCAGAACTTAAGATAATCCGTTATATTGGTGATTGTGTCATCTAATGTACTTTCATAGAATAAATCCCAGTTAGTATTTTTAACATGCACCTTAGATTGAGTAAGTTGTCAGATGTGTAGCATCTTTGTTGTGCTTTCGTAACAGGTGTGAGAAGATTTTAATATGTGTTTTGCTGTATATTTTTGGTAAAACACGAACAATACAGTGATCAGAGTTAAGTATCGGTGCACGTCTACGTGTTTCATATACTCCTTCGTCATTAGTAAAAACTAAGTCGAGTGTTTTGTCAAGTCGAGTGGGAAATTTGACTATGTTTGTGTGACCAAGAGCTTCAAGGAAGGAGCAATCTGATGAGTTGAAATCCCCAGTAATAACAGATAGAGAGTTGTCGAAGTTGGCAGCAGCAAACATGGTGAATTCGTCAGCAAAATTAGATAGATCAGATGGTGAGCAACTAGGAGAAATGTACATGTTTGTAACAAAGATATGTTTATATTTGGGGAGATGTTTGGGACGACATTTGACAGTAATGCAGTCTATGAAGTCATTTGAGAATGAGAAGCAAACATTATTTGAAACAGACCATTTGGAGTGAATAAAAGTTGCAACGCCACCACCATTTTTCTTATTACAACATTGACGGTCTTGTCGAAATAAAATGAAGTCCTTTAGTGAGATAAGATTGTCATCATACAGTTCATGTAACCACGTTTCTTGTAATGTGATTATGGCAGTATTATGATAGGTGTCAGTGGACATCAGAGATTGTAGGTACATTATCTTGTTTGGCAGAGAGCGGCAGTTTGTGTTCATTATGACTGGGACCGTAGTTAAGTGTATTGGTGTACGTTTGAGAGCTCTCTGCCAACCACTACGATGCTTCCTCCTTGATTTCTTTGGAATATGAAAGTCATTTAGTCGTAAATGATTAATAAAGTTACGAGAGTAAATGATCCTGTTAGAATTCATGTTTAGGCAATAAATAAATGTGAATAAACGGTGGATTGGATGCAATATGTACATATTATAGTAGCTGGCCCAAAAATTCGAACAGGCCGCCAAGGTCGGTGTTAGTTAGCTATTATTATTGTATTACTCTTGAGTTTAGGAGATCACTTATGACATTCTGAAAGTCATTCAGAAATATCTTTCAGATTCATTAATTCCTCATTATTCTTCAATGTAGCCATTCTTTCCTTTCCCTTGTAACGATAGAACACGGTAGGATATCTTGCAACATACTGTTTATTTCAAATCGTAAAGTATGTCTTCAGTGCATATTCGTTGAATTCTACTGAAGGCACCTTACTAAGGCTCTTTTATACTGAACAGGGCAGAAACTCTGATAATTAAGATGCTGTCCTGTTCAAGTAGGTTTTCTGTAAATAGATCTTTTTATTGACCCATCAAGCCGTCGACTAAGCAATATGTCTAGGAAAGATAAACAATTATCTTCCTCTTCTACAGATGTAAGTGATATACTATTCTGAACTTCATTCATTCGATTTAAAATTGAGGTGACAGAACAAAACTTATCACTTATGATTACAATATCATCTATATACCTTCTATAAAGTGGCACATTTTTGATTAAATCCTCCGATAAACTCTCAATGTACGACATATAGATATCTGCTAAAATGGGCCCTGACAGAAAAAAGAAAGCTGACACAAGCTGTAGTTGATAATAAATATCCAGACAAGTTCATCAGGAGACAAAAAGTACTCAGAACACCAAGATCCACTCTCCAACTCGCCCCTAAGAAAGACTTGTACATCAAATTACCCTATATGGGGCATCATAGCAGCTTGGTAACTAGACAAAGATTGAACGCTGCTGTTAAAAAAATACTTTTTATGCAGCTGATATCACAATAATTGAGAATGCGAAGTCAATATATCTATCTAAGCCCTTTGAACATGCGGGAAATGATGTCACATCCCATTGTATCTATCAATTTGAATGTACGTGTGGACACAGATACACAGAAGGGAGGACTCATCGATCTTTGCAAGTAAAGGTTGGCTTCACAGAATATTCCTAAGTGGCTCCAGAAACAAATAGAATCTTCAGAACCCATTAATGGTGAGAACAGGAGAAATAGCTTATCTATTGCGAAACATATTATAGAGACAGGTCATAAAATTGACGTTAACACATCTTTTAAACCTATCTATAAAACGTGTTTGGGACGTATCCTAAAGTTTGTAGAAGCCCTATTTGGGAATTAGAAAGTTTAAACCACCTCAATGCGTTCAAAAACAACTCGTCATCACACTAATAAACCTCCCTTGGTAAACTTTGTTTTGATATCAGGGTGGTAGGTGTACAATTACCTCTGTTATTTGGTTTAGGGGTCTTCATTGTTATTTTGACCTTCAAAATGTCTTTTTCACTTGAATTAAGTCTATTTTCTCATCTCTTACCTCTTTATTAATTTCATATATATTCCTATGACAAGTCCGTGTGTGGTCAGATTGTTCGAAATGTGTTGCGCAAATTCACTACACGATTCAGACAAATCACGTCTTCTTATTGCTTTATATAAGTTCATAAAGGGAACTAATTATTTTAGATGATTATAATGATAACGAAATAATGGTAACAAGGTTTGTGCACGTGGCGATAAGAGATATGTCTATAAAAAAACCTACGTCTGTAGGACAATATACACGTTCCTTCAGTTTTATACCAATCTGATACAAAATCCCTTTGGTTAGATGCCTCACGAATAGAGCAAGAAGGATCTGTACAGATGACTCCCTAGAAAATGAATTAAGATACATCTAAAATACATTGGTCCAAATGGGTTATCCTAGTAGATTTTTAAGGAGACACATAAACACTACGTATAATTAAGAGAAACTGACAACCATTAAAAAGAAATAACTGTTCCTATAATTGCAATCTAATAAAGACGTGGCTGGTGAAGTCCTACATCTAAGACTATCGAGAATAATAAAACGGACTTACACTGCTGTCACCCTATGTTTGTTTGCCATTTTCCAGTTGATCAGTTATGATTGCTCAAGTGAGAAACGAGCTGTCTAGCTGTATCACTTCTCTGTGTATCTACAAATTTAGTTACTCCTGAGGAGAAATCTATGCATGGCGAACATCTAGACAGCTCAACAAAGGCATTAATGAGCATCTTCCTTCATGTTTCAGAAAAGGTCAAATAAAATCTATAAGAAGTTCTATTTTGACTCATTTGATTGATGACAGCGGTCACCAAGTGGACAGAAGTAGTGCCTTCAAAGTTATCTATCGCATTCCTTCGAACCTTTCGAATGGAATTTGAACCCGCCTTTTACACATATGCAAAGCTATGCGAATTAATTCGAGAGAACATTCATAGTTTCTGCATACAAAAGAAGTTTGTTCTACCTACGTCTCTCCCTTGGCTTAAGTGAAGTCTAATTAAAACTCTCCCACCCTTTCTTACTTTCCATTGCCTTCATATTTTAATAATATTTATTTAAACTCTTATTATCTCTCCACTTCACCTTTAGTATTGCGTAACTTTTATGATTTGACCTAATTTATTTATTGAATCGTTTATTCAACGAAATGATGAACATTTTTGCCGAAATGCACAAACCTAACATCAAAATTTTCATCAGTACATGTTCTTCATTTTAACCTTCTGTTATTTTCCTTTCATGTTCTCTATATTGTTTCAAAGGAGCGTCTTATTTCTCCTCTTCACAACGTGATCCATCGCTCCACTACTCAATATTCTTGCAGAAGACACCACACACACACACACAATCACAAATTGACAAAAGTTAAAACTCACGAGCCAATGAATTGCGCGGCCCAAGTGGATGGACAGTCAATGACCTTGGCTTAGAAATTTAAAGACCCTAAGCGCGGCCCCTAGGTCCGTGCAGCTGAAGAGTTCCAAAAATAGGATGAAAGAGCTGTATAGTACACTCGAGTTTTCATTGTTTCTTCAACTGACATCAGTCGACGATCAAACTCTTGAAAAATGTACAGAATTACCAAGAAAGTGAAGGTATTTCTAGATATAAAGCAATCAATCAATTAATCAATCGATGATTCTTAGTCTTAGATGTCAACGATGAACTCGAGTACTTCATTTACGCTTATATTCATCCAAATCAACTAATAGCTTGATCTATTCTAATGAAAATGTTGAAGAGATAGGCGTGTCTATAATACATCTATTGTCTAGTTTTAATTTAGAATTTTAAATAGCAATAACATAGGTTATTTAGCATAATTATAAATACTGATTGGGACTGACTATGAAGTAGCCGCGATCACTAGCTACGTTTAAACAACTACCTTCAAATTACTAACCCTAGTGTAACAACAGAAGACAAGGGCCAGCTACCAAGCTCTCAACTACAAACTGGTCGTGTTTTAGCTTGGGCAGCTCGTGCTTATATGGATAATGCGAATTATCAAACAGCTCACAAGCTGTTCAGTGAAGTTCGTCGTTTAGAACCATGGCAACTTTGTGGAATGTATTTTTACTCAACAGTATTATGGCAAATTCAAGCTGATCAAGAATTATCACAGCGGGCTCATGACTTATTGGAACTTGATCGTAATGCTCCTGAATCTTGGTGTGCAGCAGGCAATAGCTTCTCATTGCAAGGGGAACATGAAACTGCTATTAAATTTTTTCGCCGTGCATTACAGGTAAGTATACGGTCCTCCGTTCATTTGTCTATTGTTTGGCAAAATAGCTGATAAATTTCCACATACATGAGTAACTTTGTAACAATAGAAGACAACGGCCAGGCAATAGATCGTTTATTAAGGGAATGAACACATATTTACAGATTTCCATGCACATTATTATAGATTATTGTAAGCAGACAAACACAATCTTCTGATTGGTGGTCTCTCGCTGAACGTTAACCGTTCATCTGTTTGCGGCCGTTTATTGAAGTTCAGATTATCTATCTGCAAATTGTATCCGCCTACGCAAAGTCTTCTATGATTGGTTATTGAATCAGTCTTTGTTCTTATTTTTCTCACGACGAATAGTGGGGACGTAAACATTGACGTAAATTACTGTCTACCGATTCGGCTAGCAGCCAGCTCTCACCACACTAGTAAATATCATGGTATCCATTCAAAGGAGCCTGTGTGCCTAAATGAGGATGCTGATCAATTCTGGTCGGATATATCAACAGGAATAACCAACGTGAGGAGGATAAGCCAACAGTAATATTATCAAGTGTTAGTAGTTTATAGGGATTTGATTGAGAGTAATGGACAGGTGTTTTGTTCCAGTTTAGGACTCTTCAAGGGGTAGGGTTTAACAAATAAGGTAAAAGTGTGGTGACAACCAGCTGCAAGCCAAAATTGGTAGACAAATATTTACGTCTATGTATACGTTGCAAATCTTGGTTATGAGAAAAAAATACAATAACACAGCTTAACCTTGAGGATCTCAACAGCCAATCACAACAGACTTGGCGTGGGCGGATATGATTCGCAAATATATGGCTTGACTATCTAAGAAACGGCCACAAACAGATGACAGAATAACCTTCAGCAGGAAGACAACCAATCAGAAGACGTTGCTTCTCTGCTAACAATAATGCTAATAACAATGTACATAAAAATCTATAAATATCTGCTGATTTTCTCAATAAACGATCTGTTGCTTGGCCCTTGCATTCTATCGTTACAAAAGAACAGGTACTCGCTTATGATACATTGGCTGACAGTTGCACAGTATATATCACAAATCGGCAGAAATTGAAATTCATGCGCCACTGAGTCCATTGGCTAAACAGTCGACGAGCTCACTTTTTAACTGTAGGGTGTAATGGGGTTTGAACTCCAGTGGATGCATACTACCGAAGAGTCTCACACTGGAACGAAACAGCTGTCCAGTACTACATTGTTTTTTTTCAGTGGTTCTCTAACTGATGTCATCATGTGATCCAACCTGGAATAGTGATATTCTGGATAACAGAATTACGTCAGATCTCAGAAAGAAAACACTCAACCGGGAAATACCGCGCTAAAGAGCATAACAAAGTAAAGCTTCGCATTAGACACTATCAACTGTCCACCTTTTTGTAGATGCTAATTCAAAGCATACCAGTGTGAATACATATATATTCACAGTGAAAATTCCATTTACAAAATCATTGAAAACAAGAGACTACTGAATAATTTTCAATTATTGGTTTTGCAGGGATTTTTTTTCCTTGATTGCATGGAGGATTTCATCATGAGCTGACATCAGTTAGAGAACCACTGGGAAACCAGGCCCCGGAGAGTACTGGACAGTCAGCTGTTTCGTCAGTCCAGTTTGGGACTCTTCATCAGTATGGACCCACACCGCGGGGTTCGAATCCAGGACCTTATGGTTACAAGGCTAGCGAGGTTGTAGACCATTCATCAGTCACTGGGACCCAATCCCTCAATGGCCAGTGCATCAATTCTAACTTCTGCAAATTCACGCATAACATAGCGCGACCATTTCGCAATGTCTTCTTCGATGAGTTACTGCCTCATCTTCAACCTGCTGTACCATTGCGAAATGGTCGTACTATGTCGTGAATTGGCAGAAGTTATGATTCATGTGCCATTGGATTGTGTCCCAGTGGCTTAATGGTCTACAAGCTCGTTCGCCTTGTAACCAGAAGGTCCTGGAATCGAACCCTGCGGTGTGGGTGCGCAATGATGAAGGGTCCCAAACTAGGACGAAACAGTTGTCCATTACTGAATAATTGTCCCATTCTAATTTGAGATTCTATTAGCCTCCCCCTCACCCTCCAAGAAGAATTGGGCTCAAAACCTTCAGATTACCAGGAACGTTTAGCATTCTAACCTGCAGCAATTTGTGATATATCTCTATCACGAACCAGTGGCATCGATAAGCCTCAACCTGATACCCAATATGACGGACTCTACCAGTCACAACTTTTGAACAGAACTGTGGTGAGAGCTGGCTGCTAGCCCAATCGGTAGACAGTAATTTACGTCAATGTTTACGTCCCCACTATTCGTCGTGAGAAAAATAAGAACAAAGACTGACTCAACAACCAGTCACAGCAGAATTTGCGTAGGCGGATACAATTCGCAGATAGATAATCTGAACTTCAATAAACGGCCGCAAACAGATGAACGATTAACGTTCAGCGAGAAACCACCAATCAGAAGATTGTGTTTGTTTGCTAACAAAAATCTATAATAATGTACATGAAAATCTATAAATATATGTTGATTTCCTTAATAAAGGATCTGTTTCCTTGCCGTTGTCTTCTTCTGTTACAGAACATCCATCATATACAATTAGTGTTACTTATGAAAAAAAGAGATACTCACTAGTGACTCTGGTTACAGAAAAAAAGTTGTCTGGAGTCCTAGGAAGAAGTTGAGTCGTCCATTAGGTCACTGATGACACTGGCTGGCAAGTTAGAATTCACCAGTTATTGGATTCCACCCGGAAAGGCTGAATAGTCAACGAGGTTGACCTTATAATCTGAAGGTGTAGGATTCGACTGCTGGTGGAGTCATAGGTGTTTATCACTAGAGAGTCACAAAGGGAGGACGAGACAGCTGTCCAGCACTTCCCACTGGTTTACAACAATTCTCTAACTGACGTCAATCTATACCCTGAGCAAACGTGAAACAAATCAAAGCATCCAAGAAACTGACTCTTGAATATAGAGAGTGGTGTTTAACAAGTATTGCTTATCAACTGGAAATTTTAAATCATACCATACACATAGAACAAATCCATTTTATTTTCAATATATATATATATATTTATATTTATTTATTATATATGTTTATATTTGCAACATTTAAAAAATTCTCTTTATGTAACAATATAACACACACACTCACACGCACACACGTACACACACACACACAAAGTTGTTTTTACTGGATTGAATAAGTTTATTTAGAGAAAGAGGGAAAAAGTGGTTGAACAAGGATAACAATTAAAAAAACTTGACGAGAAAATGGGGGAAGTGGGGAGAGAAGATACAGTTACATTCACACTACATCCAAGCAAGTGGGCGCACACACACACATACACGCACTCATTCCTGGGTTTCCATCTATATATATGGATGTATGAATATTGTTGGTTTGTGTTGTGGTGCACCCCTCCCCCCCCGGTTTGCACTGTATTTTATCAACACGATGGAAAGAAGAAGTTGAGTAAAAAAAAGATTAAAATTCTGCTCAAGTGTTAAATAAATAAACAAATCAATAGAGAGTTTAAAGAAAAGAAGGCATCTTGAAAGAGGGACAGAGACACAGAGAGGCCGGGTGGGAGACAGAAGAGGAATAATAAGTATCCATAATCCCTAGTTAATTTAAATACATCAAATAACCATCAGATAAGAACACAGAAACCATCGATCCAAGGTTGACACACGAAGAAGAAGAAATAGGAGGATTAAAGCGGGTAATCTAAATTATCCCCCACCCCATCTTCTAATGTTTTCGGTTGTCATTGCTCATGTGCGATCATTTATTAGGTGTGTGTGTGGGGGGTGGGGGGTGGGTGGAGGGACATAGAAGGAGTGGTATGTGCATAGATTAATGTAGAACAATGAACACCTTGTGAACTTACAAATACGCACCCACAAACACGTATACACACACACGCCGACGCATACGCTCACTCATCCTAGTGTACACATAAGAATAATCATAAACAAGATCAAAAAATATACTAAAACACGATGGAGACAAGAAAAGATGACGATAATGATAGTGACGATGTTGTTATTGTCACCAGACCTTATATCACTGTCACACCATCATAAACATCATGAATAGTGTCCAAGGTTACACTATAAGCGATAATCATATCAGAAGAACCAGCAAGAAACGAACGCTTTTATCTATATATACACATACATCACACACACACACACACCGTCTACTACTACTACTACAATAGTAGACCTGTTCACTCGATGTTCGTGTAGGATGCACAAATAAACCTTTGTAATATAAGAATATAATAATGATTATACATAGATAAATAGATAGATAGATGTATTTACGAAGATTAAACAGGCGGACCTATCAACAGAGAGAGAGAGAAACAACACGAGAACAGGTAGGAAGAGCGGGAAGAAACAGAAGAGGGACGTTTGACACACACACACATAGATGAAACAAGAATATCGTTGCACCCTAAAGTTAAACATCAAATGGAATAAACAAAATGCAAAGAGAAAAATAAAAAATAAACAAAAACAACAATTAGGTGAGACGGAGAAGACTAGTCCATTGTTGAATGTCGGTAATGTATAATATTCAGCAAGTTTAATACACCATAAGTACTTTTTTGAAGAGTGAATGTGTGAATGAATGGACTAAACAACTCTGAATTATACAAGTTTACATTTATATATATATACTTATTACGTAATGTTATTAAGAAATAATTCTTTGTATTTTTTTCTTTCTATGGTTTCTACATACTACTGAATATCGTTGTAGGAAAGAAAATCAGTAGTATTAATAGTAGTAGTAGTAGTATCAGTATTACTTTTACTCTTCATTAGAAGATGAGGTAGGTAGCATAATTAGGCTCACGAACGCACGCACAAAAATACACATACGCACACACAAACGTACACAAAGAAGGTATCTGCACATTATGTAATATGTTTATCTATACGTAAATATATATAGAGAGAAATATCCACTTGTGGATAGAGTCATGTGTCCATGTGTGTGTGTGTGTGTGTGGAATGAAATGGAATGAATTTGAGTATAAGAATACACACACACACAGTTTTCTATTGTATTCGAACACTACACATTCAAATAAATACACAATACACAGAAAAAGATATAAGAGAAGAACAAACCGGTTTTACTAATATTATTGAGGTAGATAGAGGTAGATTAAACACCAATGAAGAAGAGACAACATTAAAGTAGGTGATGACGACGACGATGATGATACGGATGATGATGCCAACAACGACGACGAAAACAACAACAACGGCGAAATGATAACGATAACGACGAGAATAAACTAACAAAAACAAACAAACATTAAAAATTGTCTTCTGACTTTGATTAGGTGGTGTAATTATTGTTATTGTTATTATTATTATTATTATTGCCATTAGAATTACTCAATGTAATCGATAAATTATGAACAATATCCATAGTGGTTTTAAGCTCTTTTGGTTGACAATCTCGAGGTAGCTAAAAGATAGAATAAAAAAAAGAATAAAACATAGATTAATTTGAATTTAATTGGTGGATGATGAATAGCAGTGAAATTCAGGATAAAGCTCATTTCGTTCTATTCGGGACTCATCAGCTAGTGGATGTGACTACATTCTCCAGTGACTCAGTGATGATGTTCCCACCGAGCCTCGAATCCAGTGCCCATAGTTTCAACCACCAGCTGAACCGTTATCCACCAGACCACTTGCGCCACGACAGCCCCTGCCTCTTGTACAACGGGTTATATTAATTATTTAATTAAATTTTAGATTTAATTGAACTCAGCGAGGCGTTTAGAGTACACAGAAGTCAGACAAGGGTGCTTATTATCACCCACGATGATATTCCTAATTGTGGTGGACTGGATTATGCATCAGACAGTGAGTGGGAAACGAGAAGACAAGGATATCCTGGACTGACCGACGTGAAGAACCTAGAAGACCTGGGATTTCGCGCGTGGATGACTTATTTTTGATGTCACACAAAATCGAAGACTCACAAGCGAAAATCGACCGACAAACTGGTCGAAGAAGCGGCTGGCGAAGACAGGACTCCAAGTGAACATAGACAAGACGGAGGTTATGAAAATAACCAACCAACAACAACGACAAGTATCGATTGGTAACATTAGTGACAGAAATCTGCGGGGAAATCATTTCTTTCATGAATGAGAACATCGAAGGCAGTTAGGAGCATTGGGTGTAAACAAAATAGACACGTGTGTATCTCATTGACGTCAGTGTGGAGATCTGCAGTAGTACTCAGAAGAGGAAAGAATAAGTATTGAATTGCATTTTAGATTTTCCCGTCGATTGATTGGACCAAAGTGCTCAGTCTCAGGTTGACATGTCTGTTGGCCTCTTCTGCGGATGGTTCAACGATGTCTGAGCATGTAATTACAATTTAATTTGTGGATGCCTACTAACAGTGGAATCCAGGATAACACGCATTTCGTTCTATTTGATGATGTTCCCACCGAGGTTCAAACTCCAGGGCTTTATGCACTAGATCACTTTGGCCACGAGTGACACTGCCTCTTGTGCAACGAGGAATGCAGCTACACCCACTAGCTGACGAGACCCAAATAGGACAAGATGCTCGTTACCCTGGATTCCACTGCTAGTCACCATCCACCAATTAAAGAAGGAATAAGGTCCGAATTTTGTTTCACAGTAATGCCAAGTCAGTGAGTTCGAAACTAGGCTGACGAAACAACTGGCTGTCCAGTACTCCTTGTGGCTGGTTTTCAATAATTCTCTAACTGATATCAATCCAAACAGAACAAATACAAATTCCTACAAGCCAATTCTTGAAAAATAAATAATGTCAGTCAACTTCTATTATTACTTTTTTTATTTTGTTTTTCTGATTACAGCTTGATTCCACACCGTATTTTCTGGTATAGGTATGGAATTTTCAGCATGTGATATCGGTAGTTCAAATTTTACAGGCCGACCATAGATATCAGGTATGCGTCGGTAAGGGGTCGAACTCCGGACCATGTGCATGGTCGACCAAGCACAAGCGGAGTACGTCGGTCAATATTTATTTGTCCTGTCGGTAAGATATATATATATATATATATGTTTCATCACACACCTTTTATTACCTAAAATGTGACACAATCATAACAGCAGACAGGTCACCGCTACAGAGCCGACAGACACACACACAATCGACAAAGAGGAATAAAGTGAAACAGCAAACCATGTAAGATAGACAAATAGACACAATTTCTAAACTGTATATAAATATATATATATACATATATTAAACAGGTCAAGGTCGAATGGATGACTGTATATAATTTTTATTAAAAATAATGCCGACACATATCACATGAAATGAATGAGTTAGGTTGAACAAAAGGTGAACTAAATAAATAACAAAGCTTTTATAGATATATATATGTGAATACCTTTCATTAAAATAAAAACTTTGTTCATATTTAATAATAAACTGAATGGAAGTAAGGTAGGAACAACAAAGAAAGCTTCTATTTTTCTGTCTGTCCATAGGTTAAGTTGACAATCTCCTCTAGTTGGAATCAACTAGCCTTAAAGTTCTGTCCCTTACTTATTACTAATACTATTATTACCATAACAGTAGAAGACAAAAGACTTGGTATCTCTGTAATACGCATAGATCTTCCGTGTTGTACCTCCTGCTTCTCGTAGTGTGTTACTTTCAAGTCCCCCATGTATCTCTCCACAATGCTGTATCATTTGCTTTCTCTGATAAATCTTATCAGTAGTACTCGTCACGCTACAACTGCAACAACAACAACTACTACTACTATATTTAATTTCAAATATTAGATTTTGTCAGGAACCAACATCATTTAGGGAGATAATTGAATTTTGCTATGGAACATGAAAGTGATGGAAATTTCTACTTCCTCGACATTGCCATGCAACGCAATAAAAAAGATGGTAGTCTTCAGAAGTCAATTTACCGAAAGTCTACATGGAAAGAACAATACCTACATTTCAATAGCTTTTGTCCGAATAGCTTTAAACGCGGACTAGTCAAGACTCTGTACTATAGAGAGAGGAGAATATGTTCTATAGAGAAATGAGAGGAAGAATTTGCTATTCTCGAAAAGATGTTGAAAAGCAATCAATGGTTACCCTCAGAGATTCATTAACAAGTACGGAAGATGTGAAGTCTCTAATGTCAAACAAATCACAGTGGAGAAAAGGCCAATCTACATTCAACTTCATTATAAAGGTGAAAATATTACAGCAACTGTCAACAGAGGATTGAGGACGTCACTAGCAGCCAGAGCCTATCGTGCAGTAAGCTGAGTTGATTCCCGCCCGTCGAACAACTTGCTCTTTGGTGCAATCAAAAATCAACAGATATCCTTCTCATGTTAACTCCAACTGTATATACAAATTTACATATATCTGTGGGAGCAGTTACATTGGAAGGCCAGAAAGAAGAAGGGCATATCTACGATTTTCTGAACATGTACCAAAAAGCTTATATCTAACGGGAACAAATGCTTTAAGCAGTACCATTGTCAGGTATCTCCTTGACACGGGCCATGAGGTGGATGTCGGAAGATCGTTCAAATTATCAACAGGAAAAAGAGTTCAATTCTCCTTAAGTTTGTCGAAGCAGTCTTTAAGTATTCATTTTGTAGGGATTTTGTTTGATTGCACAAAAAAGCACGAAAACTTCCAACATGCTAAAAAACTTTTATGCGCAACTGTCTACACTGACTCCACATACCAGAGATAAAATGACCGGCTAGGAAACATGAACAACAAGGAACACTCTGTCAGGAAACAAACCAACCAAGAATCTAATCCTCTGAACAAAATATTACGAGAAAAAAATGGAGATCATTAAAGGACATCATGTTCCAGTTAGACCTTCTAGTGAGACTATTGGAAGATGGAGAAGATAAAAATAATCCTGGAGGAACAGAGTGTGAATGAAGATGAGCCGGTGCTGAAGGCCTATATATTCCACCACTCGGAACATCATAAATCACCTCTGGTTTTTAACGTGCCTTTTAACCTTCTATAATTAGTTTGTAAAGATTAGATTTGTGTTTTGACAAGTCTGACAGAGGAGTGATATCAGTTAGAGAACTATTGAAAATCAGCTACACGTAGTACTGGACAATCAGCTGTTACGTCAGCCCAATTTCGAATTCATCGACAGTACGCACTAACTACCACGGGTCGAACCCAGGACCTTCCGGTTACAAGGCAAACAAGCTCGTATGCCATACAGCCCCACCCACTGGGACCCGATTCAGCTTTTTTTTTCTGTTTTCTCACTGAAAAGTAGTCATTGAAATGAAAAACCAAGTAGGGGAAAACAATAAAAGAGACTAAGTAATTAATTAATAGATTAATTTTCAAGTATTGGTTTTATAGGGAATTTTTTTTTCCTTGATTGCATGGAGGATTTCATCATGAGCTGACATCAGTTAGAGAACCACTGGAAAACCACCTGGGAGAACTGGACAGCCAGCTGTTTCGTCCTAGTTTGTGGCTCTTCATCAATACGCACCCACACCGTGGGGTTCTAATCCAGGACCTTATGATTACAAGGCTAGCGAGGTCGTAGACCATTCATCCGCCACTGGAACCCAATCCATCAATGGCCAGTACATGAATTCTAACTTCTGCAAATTCACGCATAACATAGCACGACCGTTTCGCAATGTCTTCTTCGATGAGTTATTGCCTCAACTTCAACTTGCTCTACCCTACTGGTCATTAATTAATTAATTAATTACATTTAATTATCGTTAGTAGAATATAGTGTCTTATTTTTCAAAAAAAATTAAATTCTAGGTTAAGAATTCGTTTTGTTGTCCTTACAATACTTATTATTATTATTATCACTATTATCACAATACAAAAAGGCATACAAAGTCTAGCAGCGGTATTGGTGCCATCAAATTACAGTGCGGAATTTTTTTTAAAGCAAATCGGCTATGCGTATATATTTATATCCATCTCCATGCGGACGCATACAAGAAAGAAAAGGCGGTCATTAGGCATAAACATCAAAGAGTACCTCATATTTATGTATATACGTATATAATGTACATATATATATATATATATATATATATACGCAGACATTTGTGTATACACACATACTAAAGAGGTATGAAGCATCAACATCCGCGTATTTTACAAAGAACGAACCGTATTAATGATAAACCGCTATATAATGTGAAAATAATAAATACTTGTAGTTAACATGACTACCTACTACTGCTACGTCTGATATTAGTAATATAGTAGTAATATTAATAATAGTGAAGGACACAGACATTATTCACTTAATTATGATAATAAGTCAGGTAGACACGAATGGCTGACACCGACGATGACGTCGCGGAAAGGATAATTTAAGTGAGTAGAGAGAGAGAGAGACGGGGAGAGAGAGACAATAATCGTTTACAAAGAAACAAGATGAGATCTTAAATCGATTGTGACGGTGTT